ATTGTTGTATATTTTGTTCATCTTTTTTTTAAATTTTCATTAAAAACTGAATTTTAAATATAATTTTTGAATACAAAACAAGATTAAAAGCGAAACGAAAGGAGTCATTGAACTCGATGTATGCCTCTCTCTCTCTCTCTCTCTCCCGCTTAAACATATATTCACTTTATCATCACTTCAATCACATCCACACCATTTCTGCAATCATTTTCATTTTTCTTATATTTATAGCAAATTATAACTGATTTGTTGGCAAACAAATGTGAGAAAATGCAAAACTATCCAAAATTTCTTTCTTTCACTTAAGCTTTCATTTAGTGGTAAAAGTTTGTAAAGTTTTAAATTCTTGATTGTTTGGTCTTTTTGTGATTAATTTGTTGATCAAATGACAATCTAATACTAATTTGTAAATATAATTAAATATTTGTCTCCAAAGTCCTATCAAAGAAGTGGATAATCATTTGATGTGAATATACGACACAAAAGCGAAGGCAATGGTTGTTAACATTGAATGAGAATTATATTTTGAGATAATGAGAAGTCACGTAAAAATTTGAGTGTTTTTGGTGTATATTCTGTATATTATATAATAGCCAAGAGATTGGCTTACAATCACTTAATGATGATTTTGGGCGCAACTTATCTCCACTTCCCATGACTTATAATAAGTGACAGAAAAATGAGACCAAATAATACAGTCGAGTCGAGTCGAGGCATACATCGAGTTCAATGACTCCTTTCGTTTCGCTTTTAATCTTGTTTTGTATTCAAAAATTATATTTAAAATTCAGTTTTTAATGAAAATTTAAAAAAAAGATGAACAAAATATACAACAATATGAATTAATTTCGTAAATATTTTTATTAAAACCAATTGTAATGTTTCGGTGCCTTTTAGTACAATAATTAAAGCCATTGAAAGACACCCACATCTATACAACCCCTGACCAACACTATCCATATTAATAGTACTATTTAACAAATTTTATTCAAAAAAAATGAAGAAAAACTTCGAAACATTATATTAAATCAAAGATAACTGGAATTTAACAATTTTTTACGGAATCATTACAAAATCAAACATATTTTTAGTGTTTTATATATTTGACAGAAGAATGTATTTGAAGTGATGGTCGAAAAGAAAGGCACAAATCATACGAATGAGTAGTGGAGTGAAAGATAGACCACTCATAAGGATAATAATTGCAGTGAATGTGGTTTTCATAAGTGCAGACAAAAGGCACTAAATTAACAAATTTTGTCTTTTTTGATATAATTGTTAATAGTATTAATCAATTGATTTGATTGGAATGCAATGCAATGCAACCCTATTTCCTAATGTGTCAAAAAATAATACACAAATTGTACTAAAAATTGTGTCTAAAAACATTAAAATATCATTCAAATTATATATATATTTATAAATTTATAAACAGAAACAAAATTATTTCAACTCTATATTAATAATATATCTAAATATCTATAAAAATCATTTGATTGATACTCGGAATCAAATGAATATCTAATTATTGGTCTTTGAATTCTTTGATATAATTTGAATGAATGAGTGCATAGTTTGTGATATATTGTTATATTGTATCTCCAAAATAGGTATCCCATAGAATTCAGTGCTTATAATGAATGTAAATGTAATTTTTGTGTTAACATTATTAACAGATTTATATACAGAAGTTATAACAAATCAATGTTGAGGACAATATATTCTTATAATAATAATCTTTTTATAAATAATTTATTGGTTTCGGTTCGGGAGCTGACAATTAGGCCAAATCTTTGACGCCTAATATGCGAGCGGCGGAGTCAGCGCCGGAGTCGAGCAAATCGTCTAAAATCTTCGAGTCTTGAAGACCTAATAGATTCTGAATGAGATCACTTCCGTCCTCGTGATCGCCATCATATAGATTGGAATTTTGTGCAAATGTTTCCAATGGTTTGACGGCATCTTTTGGGATCAAATATAATAGCGAATTACAGCTTCCTTTAGACTTAACAGCTTTAGTTGGAGTTAGAGTTTGACCTAAAAATAGATTATTTACAAATTAATTTCCAATTCAAATCAAACACAAACTCTATTAACACTTACTATCGGTTTCCTTGAGAAGAGATGTCGAAGAAATGGATGGAATGATTGGTTGCTTAGACTTAGTCTTCGTTCGAGATGATGATAATTCGCTCTCCGGATGATTGGTTCTGTGGTGTCGCAGAAGGCTATTCTTCAGCGAAAATCTTTTGGTGCAAAGCATACACTTGAAGGGACGCTCTCCTAAATGGACTCTCATATGACGGCGCAAATTGTCAAATACGGTGAACTGTCGCGGACAGAACACACACAGAATCTAATACATCATCATAATTGTTAGCATTACATCTCAATATCAAGTATATTACTATATATTTGACTTACTTTTTGATGACTATAATCGTAATCATCGTTATGATTGTCTAATATAGGCATAGGTTTGGTGTTATTGATGGGCACCTTATCGATAGCACCTTTCGATTGCAAAATATTGTATTCGTTGGAATGGCAGGACTGGATGTGTTTCAGGCACTTGAGTCGGCTGTTAAAAGACGTTTCCGCTCTTTCTGAGCATAGGTAACATTTGAAGGCAAGCCGATCGTCACTCGTCTCCTCCTCTTGCAGTGAACTGATGTTTGCAATCGTATCGTTCGTCTCGTTGTGAACCTCTTCTTCGCATTTATATTCTTTCCTATTCTTAAAAATGTTTTGTTTCCCAGTTTTAGTCCAATGACGCAAATAGTAATGCTTTCGTAGATTTCCTTGAGTTGTGAACGTACTGTTGGGACAGACATTGCATTTGTAAGGCTTGCTGTCAGTGGCGGCCGTGTGTTCGATAAGCGAAAGTCGTTTCTCTCTTCCGTTATGTTTTCTAATGAGATGTCTCTCGCAATTGGATTTAGTGGTGAAAAGAATGGGACATTTGGGGCACTTGTATGGCTTGAGGCCGGTGTGAGTGAGGATATGTCGCCTTAAGCTACTGGTCCAGGGAAACTTACGGCTACAGTACGGACACGACACACTGTTGGGCGAGTCCGTGTAGGCACTTCTCTTCTTCGTTACCGTCGATCCCGACTCACATTCCTTACTCTCTTCCGACTCTTTGCCAACCATTTTATTCACATTCTTATCACTCTTACTATCGTTTGGACGGATTGTTTCCATTTTGGTTTCATTCTTCTCGTTAGTAGATATGAGTTCTGCGTTGACATCGCTGTCATCGTTTTGCTTATTAAAGTATTGCTTCAATGCATTGGAATTGTTGGCCGAATGGTCTATCAGTGATGAAACGCTGGCCAAGTCTCCCGTATTATCGCCATAATTGTTATTATCTTCGGTAGGTTTGGGTTTCGCAGTCATGACAAGTGGTTCATTAGGCGTCGAAGGTCTCGAGACACTAGTGTTTCCAACTACTGATCCCATCACTTTGTTATTGAGAACCACTCTGAGGGCAGCTCTCGTCTTATTGGAAAGAGTTGTGTTCTGCGATTTCGCCAGAAGTGATGCATTCAAATGAATCGCTCCATTGGTTCCAGTAGTTGATGACTGATGTGTGGCCGCAGACATACCGCGACTTCTTGGCGGTCGAGCAAACTCTGGATGTTTTCGTTTGATATGTCTTTCCATATTTGACTTCAATGTAAATCCTGCCGAACAGTAAACACACGTAAAACTCCTCTCATTGCGAGTCAAAAGACGATTCTTCGAAATACGAAAATTTGTCATTTTGTAGATATCATCGATCGAAGCGCCAGAATTGGGCGATAGTATAGCAATGGGTGGAGTGGAGTGTGCGGGCAATGGAGGCGTTAATGGGATCCCTGAGTGATGAAATAGCGGTGTCTGGAGAACACTTGCGGTCGCAAAGTTTGTAAGACTGGTTGGAAATGCAGAAGAAGTGGTCATTGAGCGCAACGCCAGTAAACTGGAAGCAGCCGTACGGACGGCTTCGTTAACTTTCATGTCGTCAGAACTCTTGTCTTTATTTGAAGGATACGATGATTTGCAGCTCAAGTCGAGCGCGTGAACGGCCAGATCGAGTGGTTGTTCTTCGTGCGAATGACTCGCGAGGTTCAGCGGTTGGTCTTCATTACCGCTACAATCTGTCTCTTCGTCCTCATAGTTGTCCTTTGAATCGATGGCCAAATTCATGGGTTTGTCATTATTTGCTGATATATTTTTAGCGATTTGACACAAAGCGGCTAAACTCGAGTGATGTCGAGGGACTGATAGACCAGACATCGCCGACGTCTCGCTTAGAGATCCATTCATTGAATTGTCTGTTGACATATTGATCGAGTCTTTGGTCAAATGTGACATTTCAGGTGAGTCTCGGTATACGGACTCGCACTCCGATTGGTCGCTATTGAATCCCATGGAAGAGTTGGCGTAAACAACGGACGCCAACTTGTCTTTCATTTCCGGGTGTTGTTTGACTACATGTCGAATGCAATTGTTTTTAGTACTGAACCCGAGTTTACAGACAGAACAACAGTAAGGCTTACGACTGCAACTGTTGTGAAGAGATCTCAAATGATGTCTAAGGACTCGATTGAATTTGAAGTCGACGTTACAATATTTACAGACGGTATCAAAACCGCCGGGAAAGCTATCATTGGCCGGCGAGAGCGCCGGATTCGACTCAGTTTTGGTCACATTCTGGTGCGTGAGTGCAGACGCGGTCGACATATTCGAGTTGTATTGCATAGCGCTTCTAATCTCATGCTTTTGTGACTTCTTGTGGCGTTTGCGGACGTGTCGCTCGCAATTGGCTTTCGTAGTGAACGCGTACTTACAGATCGAGCACTGGAAGGGTCTCTCGCCGTTGTGGGTCCGCAAGTGTCGGACTAAAGTGCTTTTGTCCAAAGAAGTGTACGGACACAAGTGACACGCGTATGAGTGGCCGCTCTGACTGTGGCCGCGATTGTGACGCTTTAAAGCGTTGGTCGTCTTGAAACTTAGCGCACATTTATTGCATTTAAACGCTGGTCTCGTCTCGTCCGACATCTCGGTCACTATCGACAGCTGTTTCTCGTTCATCGACTTCTCATCGGTTTCTGTTTTACTGGAATTGGATGGAGTGTTCGGACTCGCATTGGCCGAGTCTGCGGCCACCGGTGAGTCGGGCTGAACACCACTCACTCCCAAATGGATGGGCGACGCGGGAGAGGCGGCCGGCGGTGAAGACCTTATGCTTGACATGAGAGGTGCGGCAGAATTGGTTACTGATATAATCGATTGAATGTCTGCTAAATCGTGTTTATTTCCATCACTTTCTGTGCCATTGGAGATGACTTTGGGCTGGAATGTGGTCACACGCGGCGGTGGATTCGGCTTCGCGTGAATGTAATAGGAATTGTTTTCAAAGGAATCTTCACTTCGGGTGAACTTATAGTTTGATTGAATGGAATTTATTTGTGAGCCTTTGTTCTGGAGATCAAGTAATGCCAAGAAGTCCTCTTTGTCTGAATGCGGGACATCGCCGTACGACTCGTTCGATGGCTTAAAGCCCAGCGGTTGTGGTATTGAACTGGTCATCGGCACCGCAACCACCGGGTAATCAAATCTGTGTTTGATTTGATGCGATAGAAACAGCGCTGGAGTGATGAAATCGTGTTGACATAAGTGACAGTAAGTCTGACTGTCATGTGTGGACTCGTGAAGGTTGAGAGCACTGGCGGAGGGAAAGGCTCGCTTGCATTTCTCGCACTCAAAGTCATGGTAAGGACTGCTGGCTTTGCGGAGATTGTGTTCGCAGAAAGTTTTGGCTATCATTGAGAACTTTCTTGATGTGAAATCTGTGAAACTGAGGTCATAAAAGCCGATCGCCGGCGCACTCGTGAAGTTCATTCGGTTCGATGACAACAAACTGGTGGTGCCGTCGACGGTGGCGGCGGTGCACCGATGCTGTGTATATGTGGCGTAATTGTTGACAATCATACCGCAGTCACCGCAACAAATGGCATCGTTTGGATGCATTTCCATATGTGTGTGGAGGGCAGCCGTCGACGCCATTGTCCTCTTGCATATCGGACAACAAATTTCTGTCGTTTTGATTGAATTGGGTTTCTGTACACTCAGGTCGGCGATGGTCTCGGAATTTCTTCTTTTTGGTGAACACTTCGACGTCTGGTCTTTATTGCTGTCCTCTTCACTCACTTTTCGTTTCTTAGATTTAATGAGTTTATGGGAACCGTTGTTAGAATCGGTGCCATTGTTGGTGTCGTCGTTGGCATTTTCCATGCCATGTGTCCTCATATGTCGGTGCATATTGCCATTGGTGGTGAAGGCCATGTTGCAGATGCGACACTTGAATGGTCTTTCGCCCGAATGGATCAGCATATGTCTGTCCAGAGAACTCGCAGAACTTAGAGTCTTTCCACACAATCGACAGGTGTGTGAATGATCTGAAGGGTTGTGCTGTCGGATATGTACCGTAAAAGTGTGCTGTGAATCCAGTTTGAGATCACATACGGGACACTTGTATTTGTCGCCATTTCCATCATTTTCTTCCTAATTGTTCATTCATTTAATATTCACATTATTTTAGAAATTCAAATAATTTAAACAAAAATGAAAGAAGATATTAAAAAGAGAAAATAGAAAGTAAGAGAGAAAGAAAGAAAGAAAGAGAGAGAGAGAGAGAGAGAGAGAGCGAGAGAGATCAAAAAATGCTTGTATCAATATTTTGGTTGTATGGGAGTAAATGAGAGAGAGAGAGAGAGAGAGAGAAAGAGAGAGAGAAAGAGAGAGAAAGCACAGAAGAGAATGAGTTATCGGTTTTATTGACATATTTGAATACGGATTATATATCAATATACTGTACTATATATAAGTATAGACTCCCGGAGCGAAGCTCGACATACAATAGGCCAGTAAATAGTTATATAACCATTTATTTTGATTTTAATAATTGAATTTTCTTATTTATTCAGTTTTATTGAATATATACTTCTTAATTGCAATACAGTTTAAGCAAACTCTTTGTTTGCTTTCTCAATGCATATTTGATTCTTATACTCAAAGAATATTCTTTTGACAATCAAAGTGTCATTTGAATAGACTATAAGTCAGCGATTATTGGGATTATTCACTCGAACTCAATTCAAATGGTGTGAATTGAATGAAAGTATATATTGTGCTCTCTCTCTCTCTCTCTCTCTCTCTCTCTTTCTTTCGTTCTCTGGCAAAATATGTTAGATATTTCGGCCAACTTTTCCTTTCAAATATAAAATATTGCATTCATTTTATACTTTACTTTTTTATTTTTATTTATTTTCAACTTTTATTTTATTCACTGTTTGTTTTATTTTTGCCTTTAATTCTTGATTCACATCATAAATAATAATTGATGAGAGAATGCATTAAAAATTATTATATTTATTGTGTATATATTTATTAAAGGAAAAAAGATTCAAAAATTGTTGATTAAAAACATGGTATATTTTGATTTTAATATATTTTATATTAAATTATTATTTAACTTAATTTTATAGCTAATTTAAAAACTTGTGGTTGCAATCTATCGGAGCGTTAATACAATTGATTTTTTCAAACTTAAGCAAAAACTATAAAACAGTAACGAATATAATGTAATAAAGTCAGCAAAAAATGCTTGTATCAATATTTTGGTTGTATGGGAGTAAATGAGAGAGAGAGAGAGAGAGAGAGAGAGAGAGAGAGAGACTTGAGAATATTCTGTACAATAAACTCATAAAACCATTGATTTGATGATTTGATTTGCTTTATGGGAAATGGAGGCCAAGTATCAAACATCTGCCTCTAAATGATGTTTTTGTATTGACCTAAACATTGATTAGCGAAAGAGGGAGAAAGAAAGAAAGAAAGAAAGAAAGAGAGAGAGAGAGAGAGAGAGAGAGAGAGAGAGAGAGCACACAATACCTGAGCTTTTTTGAAACTTGAATTTTCATGAGTGGAAAAGTTATCTTTTAATTTGCTTTCGTTAGCGTTAACTAAATTTTTATTATTCTTAACGTTGACTCGTTTAGCATTATTACAATTTGTCTGGACGTCTGACTTTGAGGGCTTATCATCAGATTGTGAGAGTTGTTGGTCTTGATTTGGTGTCTCATCCCTGCATTTGGTTTGCATGTTTGCGATCGACTCTTCACTATCTGTCTTATGATCAGAAGAGGACTGAGTGTTTGACTGAATGTTGGAATCGGCGTCCGATTGGTTCTGACCAGTGGTCTGAGTGATAGGTTGGATGTGTTGGTCCCGTTGTATATCACAGTCGGTTTGTTGCATCTCCTGATTCTCAAGATTCTGGTGCTCTGAATGTGTTTCACATTTATTTGCAGTTTTAGTGCTTTTTCTGTTTGTAAGGATTGTATTGTCGTTTGTGTCGCTCATTGAACCTAAAGTCGTATTGAAAGAGATATGAAAAAATTGAGATCAAGAGAAGGTTTAAGCTATAGTTTAGGACTCAAGAAAAATGTATGAATGTTTGGTTTGAGAATGAGATCAACTCAATGATGCCAGTGATGCGTAACCTATAAAATAGTTGTGCATTGCTTTGCACTACCACTCCATACACACCAACACTCATTGCTCCTACACTTTGAGTACCGATTTTGGTCTTACAAACCCAGTGTTCACTAACAGTATATGTGCTTATTATCAGAGATGAGCCAATACTACTGTATATGTATTAGCATTACCGGTAATATTGGATGAAAATGAATCATCTTATGCTCTAATTCAAGCCATTTATACCCTCAATAAAAGTGGCATAGAGTTGACAATCGGTGGTACTGTTGGTACAGACATCACCGCAATCCACACTACAATCACTATTACTACACAAGTACTCAATATCTCAGCCATGAGTTTGATTTTTCAATAAATTTGTTATCATTATTGACAGACCATTAAATTGTGTGCATCTCATGAGCGTATTATTATACACTACTTGTGTTTTTCTCTTATTTTTCCACACATTTTCTAACTTTTATTATAGAAATAAATAGTGAATTCAATTATTCAATCGATTCCAACATTTCTTTGACTCTATTATTTGATACAAAAATACTTCAACTGTTGTTTTTTTTGTCGTCAATTTTTATAAAAATTACTGAATCCTAAAAATATATTTTCTGTTCAAATCCAGTAATTTTGTGTATCATATAAACATAATCGACATAAAAAAGACAATGTTTTTTATACACACATGTATTGAATGAATAAATCATTAATTTATCAATGAATCTAATTTTCTACAACAAGTCATTTGCTATTTATAACGGAATTTGTGAAAATTATGCTAAATATTTGTCCATCAATTAGAAAGCAATTTAAAGAATAAACAAATATGTTATTCATTTTACTGTTAATATATTTGATATATTTATATATAATCTTTATATACATCTGTATCCATAAAACTTGAAAATAATTTCAATATTAATAGACATTTGATAAAAAATAATTCAATTTTTCAATCAGTTTCTAATTAATCTAAATATTGATTCTATATATGTATGGATGCAATCATGATATTTAAGACGAGTATATATAGTATAGTAGTGTATAGTTGTGCCCATCTGGACAGACATCGATGATTTACAGTCGAGAAATCAGATATTTTTAGTGATCAGTAGTGAAAAAAGTAATATTCATTCGACAAATTGGTATTACTTTCTTAAACATCCCATAAATATATGTCTCATCTGACAGTCACAAGAAAATGAATTGAAATTTATGCACACTTTGAATGCAACTAAATATTTGATGACTTCAAGAAAGTATTGATAATAAAAACCTTCATAAGCCTTAAGATATTTAATTATCAGATTCGACATTAAATAAAGGATCAGAAAAAAGTTTTCCTAAAAAGTCAATCAAAAGCTTTGATTTAAATGTAAAACAAAATTATATGGTTTTGAAAGAACTCATCGCTTGAGAAGTTATCAAATGTTTTTCAAATACATCACAAACACTAAGACTCCAATAAAAGTTATACTCTTATAGTACTATCAGATTCTGCAGAGTGTATGCAATGTTGACAAAGAAGACCAATAAATCCGATATAAATGCTGAGCAGTGCTGAGACAAGACAAGGCCATCATTGGTTAGAACAGGACTTACACTTCGCTATACACTCCACTATACAGTACAGCACTGTATTGTGTACACCAGTTATTGCAAAGAAGATAGCGAGAGAGAGAGAGAGAGAGAGAGAGAGATAAAGAGACCGACAGCGCTATGAGTGCTATACCTGTAGTAAATGGCAAATGCATTGAAAGAGCTATACATTGTAATATTTATTGAAGTCTTAGTGTTTGTGATGTATTTGAAAAACATTTGATAACTTCTCAAGCTCACTCAGGGAGAGGGAGGAGAGAGAGAGAGAGAGAGAGAGCTGTGTTGGAAGGAAAGAGCGCATACCAGTGCATCTCTGCCTCAGTCTCAGTGAATAGCAAAGCATTGGAAGCCGTAGTGTTTTGAGCACTTCTTGTCGCGATTTGTCGCCAAACTGTTTGCCCGAAAGACACGACACACGCGCACAACACAGCGAAGAGGGGATTGGATGCACAACACTATGAATCCTATGAACCTTTGGCCAACACTATCTACACTAATGAAACAACTCTTAAGACATTCACTCACAACTCAGCTCTACTTTTTAGTTTAGTTTGAGATTAAAATATGTGTTTGAAGTCTTGGTTTCAATGATATGCAATGGTATTACAATGTATAGCTCTTTCAATGCATTTGCCATTTACTACAGGTATAGCACTCATAGCACTGTCGGTCTCCTTATTATGTGAATCCTATGCAACGGATTCCTCCTTTCAATAAATAAACAGTAATTATAAGGTGTGGGAGACGTGTAGTGAAGATAACGCTACCTAATTGTCTAACTTTTTATATTCATTTATATTCTTTAATAAACAAATTTTTCATTCAAATGAATTAAAACAATAACTCATTTATAAGGAAACGGGTCATAGTTTTGGTCCGAATGACAATTTGGTCTCATTTTTTGTTGAAACGAATGAAAACTTTTACAAAAACAATATGCAAATTATGACATCTTATATATCATTGTGAATGTAAGCATCAAAAGTGATTATCATTTCGATGACAAAACCCAGACACCGCCCACACCAACCATTTAAAGCCACGCCCATCACTATTGAAGAAACTTAATTCATCACCTCTTCCTTAACCACCATATGTTATCACTTGTGGTTAAAAATCATTACATTTTTAGGACAAACCGTCAGATTCTCCCAAATTATAAACTCTTTCTTTCTATACAAAGATTAAAAACTCAATTTATGAGTACTTATTGTTTTAAAATATTCATTCAAATATTAATACTCAAAACGATAGAAATGTTTCGTAAATAACTGATAAATAATAATTGTTTTAAATCATCATTTGTTATAAAGTTATGAAGGAATTTATTGATAAAAAAAAATATTAGCAATTAATGCAACGGATGAAAGTGTTGTGCATTAAGTACTCTCTCGTAAACGATATGAAGGCAAACAAATACACTGAATAAATGGCATTCTTTGCGCTCTAGTCTATAGATATTTATTTTTATAAATAACAAAACGATTGCTCTGAAGGTTTAAACATTGAATTCTCATTCATTAAAATTTATATTAAATTCTCAATCAAAGTAATCAACACATAATAATCAAAAGTTGTAATGAAAACCAAGATTCAAGTAAACATATTTATGGATCAGTTCTGAGACAAACAGATCTACATTTAAAAAGTTGTGATGCATTAGAATTAAAGGGTAGATACAAATGATCACTCTTTATATGTGAAATATATTTGTTAAATCATTTGAATAAATTTAATCAAAAAAATAATATAATATTAATTGATAAAAGAAATAAAATTAGATAACAATAAGAAACAAAACATGTTATTTAGGTATAAAATTCGTGCTTTAATACAAAGGCTTGTTTTTGTGAAACAAAACCTTTATTTTGAGCTTTAAATGTCTCACATTTCATCACTTTTGTCCGCAAATGGATTGAAAAGACAATCAAATCAATAGAAGATATGTTGAAATTTTTTTGACCATAAAATGAATAGTAATAATGTTTGAGCGCACCTGTGCTGTACAGTACTGTATACCTGTTCAAATCAAAAAGTCTACTCCCATGCGAGAGAGCATTGCGTTGGCTTACGTTTTGGGGGAGAATTGATTACAAGGGATGCATATATCGGGAAATGGTTTGCAAAGAGCGCTAAAGTAAACTCTATGAGAGTCGAGACTGATATGAAATCTAAAACTCAATACCATTTCGCGACTCTGAGTGTGTGATTACATGAAAAGCAGTTAAAAAACATTTGAAACGTTTGTCTTATAATTATTTGAATCAAAGAGTGAGAAGAAGAGTAGTTATAAGTTATAACTATGCAAATGGCAGTGAAATGTTAGGCAATGGCAGTGCCATAGATGTGGTGCAAAGTGCAGACATAAGGTGCCCACCGAATGAATGCATCACTACTTAATCCTCTATATGTGTTATATAATAGATGGGATGCATCGGAGGCTCAATCATTGCTTTACTACAACAAAAAAGGCTGTTTATAATGATGTGATGTTTGAAGGGAACAGCAAATGCCTATAGCAGAGCAGCACAACTACACACAGCCTCCTATCTATGTTAGCAGACATCCCGGATATTCGTGATTATGCACCTGAATCAGCGTAAATAAATGCAAAAACATTATTCTCTATACTCTATGACAACTAACTCTACTCTCATGTTGTAATAAAAGCCAACGTAATAGCAATAGCTATAGAAATGGCAATTGTATTAGAAGTCAGTAATAGCGCTATCATTACGACTATGACTGAGACTAAAAAACTTATGAGAATAATAACAGAGACAGTGAGAGACAAGTGAAGCAAAGCTTATCTTTATATGCCGTAGAAGTTATAAGGAGTGTTGAGATGAAACAAAGATAGAGATATAGTATAGGTATTGTAAATGTTGTGTTACTCACAGACTGTTATCCACTTCAATAGTTACTCATTATAAATAGTTTGTAGAAATTATATTTCAAACAATTAATAACTGGAATATGACTTTATTATAGAGAAAGACTGATATTTGAGTAGAAAGTGCACAATAGTTGTGATGAATGTATGAAACAATACAAAGAATAGAAGAATTGAGAGCAGTATTAGATAGAGTGCCGGAAAGGGAGACGCGATCGCAACGATCAGTACAGTCACTATGGATTCGGGAAACACAACATCAAAACACCTGAAGTTTATCTGTCATTGGGTGAGAACCTATGCTATCAATAGGTCTATGCTATGAATATTCCGATCATTTCGATAGCATTCAAGAGAAAATGCGATAGAATTGTAACTATGGATACGTGTTATACACACAGAAACAATTGGGTGTTTGGGTGGAGGCTGTTTGATGTGCCGCCGCATCACATCACCTGCGAGTGCACTCCAGCCGATCAATGCTGCGGAGGGCTGGCTATCACTCCTATCCCTACACTGTCGGCGAGAAATATGTGAATTCACAGTACAGTCAGTCTTCATAAGGATAACAATAATGGATAGCATAGGGATAATAAGATAGGGAAGGGAATCAACGGACGGGTCGATTAAAGTCACTCTCAATGCAATTTACATCAATCTTTGGCCAACTTTGTTACCGCTTTGCAAATCATTAGTTTAGCGACAAAAGCAAAACTTTGCGGTTGCGATAGTAATGCAGAATCGAGTCGTCAGTATAGCAACCTTTGCTTCTCTCTCTTTTTTCCCTCTCTTACTCCCTCTCACGCTATAACTCTCTTTCTCCTTCTCTCTCCTACGTCTCTCTCTCTCTCTCCCTCCCTTCCTCTCTCGCTCACTGGTTCTCCCCTTCTCTCCCTGAGTGAGCCTTTCATTCAAACCGTTCCCAAATGACAGCACAATATTCACTGATGGAGATGTGAAATGAGGACAACAGAGGAGAGCAGAGCTGTAGTGCTGCGCCTTTACCTGTCGTTTACCTATTTTGAAACAAACGAATTGCCAAACGCTTTATGGCTTTCTTTAGTCACTGCTCTTTAAGTTTAATAATACTAACGAATAAACGATAAAAATATTGCAAATTATTAAACTCTGCATTAAATACGAGATAATATGACAAAAGAATATAAATATGTCTTTTAAGAGATAAGAGTGAAGAATATGTTGAGCCAAATAAGTCATGGATCCGTTCCTCCCTTCGGGCGTTTCACTCTTCGGTGCTCTCATTGCTATGATTTGTGCCGAGACTGCAAAGACAATAAAGAAGTCTTCTCTCGATGTGCTGGTAATGGATGTTTGCCAGCCTGTGATCGGTCTCGCATGGGATGTCCTGCGTGTATATTGTGCTCTGGGATGTGCTCTTTCTCTCCACAACTCTACTATAGCTCTGATGCACTAAAATGTGTTTTTCCTGCTTTGGGCTCACATTAGAGTGAAGGCACTCATCATTTAGTGAGTGCTGTGAACTCTATGCTCTTCTGGTCATAAAGCGTCTCACGTAATGCTCCCGAACTCTATTCCCTAACGTTTCTCTCTCTCCAAAAGTTTGAGTTTGAGTTTCAGATATTGTGGTAATGACTTCAGAGATTGTGGGTTTCTTCCTGCGTTTGTGCACTCAGGTGTTCCCAAGTAGTCATCCCTTTGCCATCGCCTTAAGCTATGCCAATCACAGCCCAATCCCTACCTAGACTTGACTCCGCTCTGACTCACCACCTGTGATGGCACACAACAGAGAGCGGGAGGGAGAGAGAGAGAGAGAGTGAATAGAGTGTATCTCATAGTGTGTGGTGTTGTGAGAGAGGAGTACAGTATAACTCATCCAATGAGTGGAGTGTTGCTATTTCCATGCAGTATCACAGATACTATATATTACAATATTTAATGTGAGTTAGAGAGAGAGAGAGAGAGAGAGAGAAATACAAAGAGAAGAGAAGAAGAGCAATATCGAGAGAGCAATAGCAACACAACCACCAAAGAGAGACGGGAGTAAAGCAGTCAATTTGTGCACATATTTGGGGCTCAACTTTATCTCCGTTGCGAACCAAAAGTTTTCTCCAAATCTTTGATCGCAAATACAGTGTTGTGTAGAGTATATGAGAGCAACACATCTGTGCCAAGTGTTGCCTCTATTACTGCTCACAGGCTCTACAGCTCTCCTCAATTCCAACACTGAATCCCAAACACCAAATAATATCACATTTTGCAGCACTCGTATCATCAGTGACTCCAATGACGCCAATCCAGAGGCGTATATATCATACAAACATATAATACACTATAAACTATATCATACACTCATACAGAAAGCTGTGTAAAACAGTATAATATAAAATATATAAAACTTTTTGTTTGCGATTCCAATGAATCAAAAGATAATACATTTGCAGTGAATGAGAGAGAAGAGTGAGAGAGCTATGAGATTGTAATTGAGAGTTGCATTTGCAGTGAAGGACGAATCCTCTCTCAAAGTGACCTTCTCTTCACTCATATATAATATATATTTAATAAATACAGAAATACAGGCAATGATGAAGAGTTACCAAACACTCCACTCTATCACCACTTCTATGATTGCACTTATTTTCCACACTTTCCTAACCCTAAGCAGTGTTTTCAGTGTTTCATTCTTACCTACAATAACACAATAACACAATAATACAGTATTAGTTGACTTGAATCGCAAAAAAGCTGATAAAATAGACGCTCGTATTGATAATAAAATGGGACTTTTGTTTCACTCTTTCACAACGCTTTAACTAATACTCCAATCCCTGAAACAAGTGATGACCTATAAGTGTAAGTGAGGTCTGCTTTCAAACCTCATTTCAACACAATTTAGCCAAAACTCTATTCTAATCACTAAATGGAGTATTCATTACATTTGCATTCATCTCATCATATGATGAGGGCTTACAGTAAACGCGACTCCCATTACAGGCAAACAGATTCACATTCAGTGCGCTATTTGTCTCCCATTTTACTCTCGATTCAAATCTTAATCACAGAAAAGTTGAAACTAAATAATAATTGAAGAAGAGGTGAACTTTGGACGCGGGCTATAATAGCAGGCAAAGGCATTTGTGGGGATGTGAGGGGATGTGTGGGGCCGGCAGTGGAGGCAGTGGTGGAGCAGTGGTAGTGATGAAGCATTACTTTAGACATAACTTAGGTTTTGGTCCTCACGAACCACTTGTGCTCTTATGCTGAGCACTGCTTACAAACGCATTGCTATACCATTGCTATACCATTACAACAGCACTACTCTATAGCTCCTCACCCACTGAGCAAACATCCCTTCTCTCATCCCATCCAAACTTATACTTCAATATTTAAGTTTTGAGTTTTAAGCCCAAAATTGCTTACCTTTGGTATTCTTGATGGTTCTGGCGGTCAGTCGATGCTTTCGTCGACCGTTTTTGGCCATAACTGACGACCAAATCAAGTGATGTTATTTGGTTTTTGAGGAGAAGTGTTAGCAAAATAGGTGTAAATGTTGTGGAGTTTGTGATGAATTGAGGACTCAGTGATAGAGCATTCGCTGCCAAACACTCAACAAAACAGACTCACATTTTTCCGCTTATGATCTCCAATGCATTCATACATTGAGTTCAGCATTCAATGCATTCACAGCACATACAGACGTCACCTAAACTTGAATGACTGCTTACCACTCACTCCACTCATTGGATGAGTTATACTGTACTCCTCTCTCACAACACCACACACTATGAGATACACTCTATTCACTCTCTTCTCCACCACTGCCTCCACTCCTCACAGCATTCACAGCACAGCACTGCCACTGCTCTACTCCACTGCCTCTACCAACACATCCAGTCCTCTCATCCAATACATCAACACATATGCAGACACTAACGCCGACTACAGACTCCCTTTCAATCACAGGCAACACAACCATCTCATGCAACACCTAAAGCATCCATTGATGCCTTTTCCATACGTTCCCTAATCAACCGTTATTGATGAACCACTAAAACCAAAAGATCATCTTTGTAACTGTTTACATTCCTTTACAACTTATAACTTATTACTAATGAATTTTCAATAAATATTTCATCACATTTGAAGTACCGTTAGCTTTCATAATGTTTGCATTTAATTGTTAGTACTTTAAAACAATTTTAAAACTTTCTAAACAACGCGTGAAACAAATTATTGTCAAAATAATGTCTAAACATTGACCGCCGTTTTGGGTGTGATAGTAATGATATTTCTAAATTTACATAAACCTATTGAAAGCATCTTTGATCAAAATGATCTCAATGCAAATATTGAATGATATGTATAAAAGCCCACTGCAGTGATAAACTCATGGATGAAATTCAATTACAATCAATATTCGCGAGAAATATAAATAGTATAGATTCCATGCTTTCAGACCAAAGTTTAAAACTTAAAAAGTTGTGAATTTGGAAAATAAAACAAATTAAATAATTTTGTGAAAAAGTTAAATTAAACAAAGAATTATATAGTATAACGAAGAATATTTTAATTTAAATTATTTTATATAATACTCTTTAATATTGTATGAAAATTATTATAAATAAAATTAGAAATATTGAAAAGTTGTTAAAAACTTGAGCATAACTTAAAGCAAATGTTAAAAAGATCAATGTTTTGGAGGGGCTTTCCATTAGTCAAACAAATGGTTGATAACATGCTATAAGAAGATATATTGAGAACTGTTCACTTGATTCAAAGAGACAGACTGTCTGTGAAATACTGTCGACTCAAAACTTAAGGTCTTTACAGTTAAAGCTTTTATTAAAATGTGTCCCACTTTTTACAGAACGCTATTTCATTCAATTCTACACATAAGACAATTGTTTGCCTGACTTTTCTCCACTAACTGTTTGTCATTAAAAAATACTTGCATTTCAATAGTCTTCCGCTACTGATTGTCCAATCATTGCATTATTGCATACCATATATTTAACACATTATAGTAATTTATAATACTGTACACCTATTAAGTATATGCACTTTTTAAAAAGTTGTAACATGAAAAATTTTATTTATTAGTTGTAGCATAAGATAAGCAAAGTAAAAATACTTAAATTGGACTTTTGTTATAGGTTTTAAAGCAAATTACATTAGAATCAGTAGTTAGGACTAAATTTTGACCATGTAGTGATATTTAAATAGTTTACTATTGTTTAGCATGTAATATTTGGTAATTAATATCAATGAAAAATATTGCCATCGAATATCCAAATAGTTTAAAACCTAATCTAAACTTTAGATTATTATAACTTCTTATTATTAATTATAGCTTTTAATAATTAGCTATTAATAATACCTTTTATATTGTATAATCATTTTAATGGATTTATTGATTGTAATTTACAATTTGTAAACAAAATTATTTGTCTTATTATTTAGAAAGCATACTATACTTGCAATGAAAACGCCAACAACAGGGCTCACTATCCATAACCACAAATTAATTGTCGCATTTAATGGCAGGTATTTGTCAAAGCAATTACTTAAACCATACAAGACTTGTATTTAGTTTATTATAAAAATAAAATTAATATTTAATGTTTGTCGAGAGTCTTGTCTTATCAAAAGTTTGCAGCAATTTTTTAGTTATCAATTATATTACATAATAATTAATTTGATTTATAATCTTATTTATTAAATTAAAACAATTTAAACTATGAAAGTTTTTCACAATTAAATATCAAATTACATCGAATTTCTTTTATATTTAAATTTTAAAAACTTTTTGCAAATAGAAAACAATTTTAAAGTTATTTAAAAACAATATGCAATTTATTTAAATAATTGAATTTTTGAATAATTGTATAAAATCTAATAGTAACCACTAAAATAATATAAAAATAGTTAATTAATATACTGTATAAGTAATATTTAATCATTATATTTAATTAATAAATTATATTTGAAACATAGATTGTTACATAATGTCAATCTTTTATTAATAAATTGATATATTTCTTAATTTGTATTACAATTGATTGTAAATGATTTAGCAATATATGAAAGAATATAAATTTACATATGGGTTAACCATTTATTATTGGCAATAATACAATTAAAAATGAATACATACTGTATATACTTGAGAAGTAATTAAACATAATTAGTTGAATCTAATATTTAAATATTAAGAGGTCTTAAAAGAGATGAAACAACTACTAAATGGGAGAATTAGTGTCACTTCTTTGCATTTTGGTCTATAAATGGTGATTAAGTCAAATATAGATTAATAATCACAATAACTATTAATCTAATGATTAATGCATATACTCTATGATTATAATGTGCTCATAACTGATGTAATCAACCATTTCATTGCAATCATTGATCGATCATTAATTTCAACCATAACTTAATACTCTACGTAAAAGAAGTGCACAAATAAGTTATGCATTATTGTAATCTTGAATATTGTTTCAAAACTTATTTCATTCAAAAGTTTTATTACTTTTCCAATATTGGAAAAGTTAGTTTGACTTTTAATTGAAAAAGTTTTCGTTTATTTATTTGTAAAGCATTGAAATGAATGTCTGAATGACATTGTTATCCACAACGTTATCATTAAATAATTGCTTATTAATAGTATTTCCAAATAATTGAGTTATAAAACATAGTTTAAAAGTTTTAGCAAACTTTTGGTTCCTATCGTATCCTCTTTTAGCGCTAACTTTATTACTTTTGTCACATCTATAGAGACTCTCTATTAGAGACCCAAACCATCGTTTCTTTGTTCCCATGTATTCATCGCATCCACTATTGGTGTGCGAAATGATTACCAATTTTACATTAATGTATTGTAATTTGAGTAAAATTAATAAATTGTGTCAATGCGGGCATTAAATGGCAAATAATAATTAAATAATGAATGTCTAATAAAAGTCAATGCGAATCAACGTTACGATGGCTGTGGACCTCTAGTGGTTGTGTTGTGTGTAATGCAGACCTCTATAGATGTGTTGAATTTATGGACATTAGGCTATGTTTCGGTGGATTCGCTTAAAACTGACATTAATTTGATTTAATGATTGAATTAGTCTTTGATTACAAATAGTCTTCATTTGGATGTGTTTTGAAGTGAATGTTTGAATACAATTAGTGGTAAGGATTGGATTGAATTAATAGTCGATACAATTGATTGAAAAGTGTGTCATTCAGTACACAATAGAGTGTATTGTGAGAAACGAGTCAATCAATGGCTGTCCATATCTGCGCTCATTTGACTCATTCATCACTTCCAACTGATCCACTCATCCATCGTTTTATACCATTATTTGAATAGCTTTTAGTTGATTAGCTCTTAGCTGAAGGTCTTATCTATGATTACAGTTATCAATACTTTTAGTATTAATGGCTTTTAGTGTTAGCAATGAGTTGAGTATATATTGTCAGACAATTGGCTTTTGATGGTCTAAACTCTTGAGCCACGGATCAAATGGTTGAGCAAATGGTAGACTTGAGGCAAATGGCGGTTAAAATGGGTTTAAGACTAATGTTGTGAATGAAATGTTGGACTAATTGACTAACCGTTGAGGGACTGGACTTTTACTCTTATTTTCTAGATTTTGATGATATAATTGGTATTAAATCGTAAAGAGATGTCAATAATAATTCGTCTGCAAAACCTGCCTCTGGAGGCGTCTTCGCTGGACATCAGGCGCTTCTTCCACGGCCTGCAGATCCCGGACGGCGGCGTTCACATAGTGGGCGGTGAGAACGGCGACGCTTTCATAGCGTTCGCTTCGGACGAAGACGCGCGACAAGCGATGGAGAGAAACGGACACATGATTAAGGATTGTCGCATCAAATTACTCCTCAGCAGTCGTAACGAAATGCAGAAAGTGATTGATTTGGCCCGCAATCAGACACTCGGTGTCAAACCCATTGATAATCTCAACAGTCAGTCCAATCCGGGCCCCAATTATCTCAATACTGGTCTCATGTCTCTCAACAATATGTCACAAAACAATATGAAACCAAATATGCATTCAAATAGAAATAACAGTCGAAGTCCTGACAGAAGAGCAGTAATCGGTTCTCGAGTTAATGAAAGAGAGGTTAGAATCAGGAATAGGAGTAGAAGTAGAAGTCCTATCCGTGAGGACAGAGATCTCTCAATGAATGGTAATTCAGGCAATGGTCTCAATAGAATCGGTTCAATGCATTCGGGAATTATGAACACAATCAGAGACTCGGCGGTCAACAACTCTTTTCCATCGCATGACTCGTCCCTTCGCTCACGTCTTAGTTATTCAGAGGCTATTCTTCCGACCGGACTTGAAGACCGACGGGTCGATCAGTGGAACCCAAATGACGGCTTTGCCGGACAGAGAGGTTTGAGGCCAGAAATAACCGCTTCGGGAGACTTTGATCGCGATCTGGAACTCGTGAGAGACAGCCGTTTGTTGAGAGGTCAACGAGAGGTGCCGTTGAATGATAGGCCGGCATATACTGTAGAGATGAGGAATTTGCCCTATAATGTAGTGGTCAGTGATATCATTGAATTCTTTAACGGCCTCTTTGTTCCCGAAGAGAACATTAAGATTCTTATCGAC